AAACACGCATGTTAGGCTGATTGGTAACTCTAAATTGTCCCTAGGTGTGAGTGAGAGAGTGAATGGTTGTTTGTCTCGTTTGTCTCTATGTGTCCCTGTGATGGACTTGCGACCCGTCCAGGGTGTACCCCGCCCCTCGCACAGTGATTGCTGGACATGGGCACCAGCGACCCCCGTGACCCAAAATGGAATAAGCGGGTAAAGATAATGGATGGATGGCTTTTAACCTAGGGTGAGTTAGCATCTCTGTCTTAATGTTGTATTATTTTACTTGTGATGTTCTAATTATTATATATATATATATATATATATATATATATATATTTGTTTTATTGTTTTACTGTAGTTTTTATTCTTTGCTTTTATTTTTGTACAGCACTTCGGACGGCTGCCATGTTGTATTTTAAGTGCTTTAGAAATAAACTGGTATAGTATGGTAAGACCAGTCCATCACAGGGACACATAGAGACAAACAAGACAAACAACCATTCACTCTCTCACTCACACCTAGAGACAATTTAGAGTTACCAATCAGCCTAACATGCATGTTTTTGGTCTGTGGGAGGAAACTGGAACCCATGCATGGACGGAGAGAACATGCAGACTCCACCCAGAAAGGCCCCCAGACCAGGATTTGAACCAGGACAACTTGATTGCTGAGAGGCAGCAACTATACCAACTGCGCCACCGTGCTGCCCTATGCCCAAAATTATATAGTTAAACTTTTTATATATATATTTTTAAATTCCAGTCGAGGATTTTGTGGATACCCTTTAGACCACCAGTCTAGTTTAACCTTACACGTCGAAAGTCATCTGCTTTTCGAACATGGAGGTTTTTTCTAATAATTGTTTCCATTTATTATCATTATTATTATTTTTTTTAACTCTGCGTGTGACAGAATCACTTGTGTTCTAAATTAGTTATACGCTTATAGCGACCTGGACATATGAGCGAGCTGCAGGTGCACAATGCAGCCACAAATTACTCCCTGCCTTCGGAAAAACCAACGGCAGTCAGCCGTGGAACGTCCGATTCTGCAGCCTGCATGCATGCGAAACAGCTTTTTTAGGACTAAACGTTTACTTTGTCACATTACAAGTGAGTTTTTGCTCTTTTCATCCAAACTAAAATGATTTTGTCAGGCAAAATGAGACGTGGGATTCTGCCAGGAAAGTCAGACGTTTTCTGGGTCAAGTTAAACTGCGTTTAAATAGATTTTTACAGAGGTTCTCAAACATAAAAGAGGAGCACCACCTAGTGGGCTAATATAAAAATTGAAAGTATAGTTAAAGAGGTAAAAGTAAAAACATTACTGAGAGTCTTGTTATTGTACATTATGTGCATACTGTAATATGTATTTAATGTAATATGTACATACTGTACATATTACATCGTTGTATGATATGATAAATATAGGACTGAATTTTGTATTTACAATATTTTCTAATGTGGAAGAATTTTCCCCCTTAAAAACGAGTGCGGTAAAGTTACTGTGAGGTTAGGAGAGCGTGTGAAAAAATTCTGACAAAATATAATAATAAAAAAAAAACCTCAAAGGACTTTTAAGCTTTGCCAGAAAAAAAAATCATGTGTATTGACTGCACCATAATAAACAAATAAATAAAAACACAAACCAAAATAAATGTGTGACTGATTTTCCCCAAAAGACGATAAGAGGTTTAACTAAAAACATCACAGAAAAAGAGTTGGTCGATTATACAAATCATTTGTTAAGTTGATGAGTTCCTTTCTATTCCGTTTTCAACGATACAAAAAAACAAACAGAAAAAAAAAACGGTAGTCGATAATACAACTTGTGATTTTAGGAATCAAGGAGTTAATTCATATTCTAACTTCAGTTTTGATGCTTCAAACATTTTGCTCAGTCTTGACACCAGCTATCTCGTTGTTTACCTGGATGAGAGAACTGAGTGGTTTTCCATCGTACTCTATGTCCTTCCTCCAGGCGTCCTGTCCATGACCAAGTGCTTCCTTTACAAACGCCACTGGGGTCACCCAGCTCGTCTCCATACGAATACTTTTACTGCATGTGCCTAATGAAGGAGAGAAGATCACGTTGTTCTAGTCATTACACTGTTGACCAGAGTCATGTCTCTCTCATCAAAGCTGCGGAGTATGAAACATGATCCACTAACAAACCTGACGCAAAGCGTTTCTTGTATAAATTCGCAGACAAAGCTCCGCATGTCACCTTGAACATGGTTTTGTAATAATCTGGGTTGGATTCTGGCTGCTGCTCATCCTCATCGTCCATACTGTCGTCTTCTGCATGAAGCACACAAGTGAATATGAGACATAAACACAAAAACTCTTACATAAAGTCTTCTAAAATTTAGTTTTTTTTCCCCTCCCCTAACATTTCCCCCAACAATCAGCACATGTGGCATTTGTTCAATTTTTTCCGTCACTCAATAAACCTCATCTTCCTAACTGTCCTCTTCACCTTCTTTAGACTCTAAATAAGTATAGCAACTAAAACAAGGTTTCCTCTCAAAACGGTAAATTTGAAGCACATCAAATATACTGTATATAGGTAAAGGCATGAAAGATACAGTAACTGTCTGCTATGGTAACTTGCTTTAACTGAGCATCAGAACTCATAGCTGTAATATTTTATGCTACGTAACAGAGGATCTTCTTAACACCTCAGAAATTGGTTTCTCAGATCACACTATCGGTTGGTTTTCTAATTATCTCTCAGTCCGAAAGCAACGTGTTCAACACAATGGTACTTCTTCCAGTTGTTTAACTGTCAATAATGGTGTGCCACAAGGCTCTGTCTTAGGACCCAGTCTATTTACAATCTACATAAGCAATGTAGGTCAGGACATTCCTGACACATTCCTGTATTTCTATGCCGATGACACAGTTGTTTATTGTCAAGCTAAATCATTTGCTAAAGTTTTCCAGCTTTTACTGTCTGCATTTGACGTCATCAAGTCAGATTTGTTCTGTCTCAACCTGGTGCTAAATGCTGATAAAACCAAAGGGATGTTGTTCTCAAACAGGAAGTTGTTACGAGCAGTTCTTCCTTTTATCTGATCTATGAATGGTGTACCTATTGAGTTTGTTGATTCTTACAAATACTTGGGAATCTTGGTCGATGCACATCTCTTTTTTAAGCTGCATGTTGAAAACTTGACAAGGAAACTGAAAATTAAAATTGGATTTATTTGTCAGAAACAGATCCAGTCCAACTCCGAATGCCAGGAAACGTCTTGTAAGTGTAACTTTCCTTCTGGCCATTGACAACGGTGACATTATTTACATGAATGCTCCTGCCAGCACCTTGCAGATGTTGGACGCCATCCATCATGGTGCGCTAAGATTCATAACCGGTTGTAACTATCGTACCCACAACTGCACTCTCTACTCAATATTCAACTGGACATCATTAACTTCACACAGATTCTCCCACTGGTACATTTTCAATTAAACCAATTCTTGGTCTGCTGCCTTCATACATCTCCTCCTACATGTCACTTCTTCAGTGCAGCTACAGCGTGCGCTCTCAAGACATCATTACCTGCAGTGTAACCTCAGTGTGGACTGAACTCAGCAAAATGGCCTTCCCTTACTCTGTTCCAGTTTCCTGGAACACCTTGCAAAAAGATCTGAAGATGATGACATTGACCTCCCTAAAGGATTTTAAACAATTGTCAAGTTCATGGCAAAAATCAATGCAGACATGTTGTTTTTAGTATTTTACATACATTTTATAATGTATGGTAGCTTGTTTTTATGTTGTTTTATATCACTACTTTTATTTACTTTTTATTTTATATGTATTTTATGGCTGGACATTGTTGTGTGCACCTTATCTTTGATTTTGTGTAAAACAGGTCTCTCTTGCAAATGAGTCCTCATGACTCTGAGACTAACCTGTATGAGTACATTTTGAATGACCAGTTTGTGAGGCTTCAGTCTCATTATCAAGCAAAACAAAAGCAATTAAACTTGGTGTTAAACTGCACTAAAATAACAAACCTGTGGTTAAATGGTCTGAGGACGTCCCAGGGTTCTTCACCTGGCAGGAAGAAACAAGTGGATGTAGCTCAGATGAGAAAAACTACATATGAATTCAGAGAATTCATTTTTTTTTGTTTTTTATTCCACCTGTTTAGTTCTTTTGTAGCTTACGGACTTCAGGTGACCATCCTGTCAGGAAAACATTTGCACGACAGTGAAGTGGATCACTAAAAAGCACAAACATGAAAAGTCATATCTCGCAGCTCTAAATTCAGATTTCACCAAACCTTGATGAGTTGTCCTACGGGAGTGTCCATACACCGGATGCTTAACTTCCAGTTCTTGGTGCTCCCTTTTCCTGCAAACTTCTCAAAATCAGTGGGAGTAAACCACTGTTTTTTCGCCAGAATGCATTTTTCTCCTAAAATGTAAAAATAAAAATAAATGAAAACAGGGAATTTTGAAAATGACCAATGCAGTTACCCTCAAAACCCCTAACAGACACGTACTTCCTTCTATGAAGCTGACAGTAATTTGAGGCTTACTTAGGCCTGTCACGATAACAAATTTTGCTGGGCGATTAATTGTCTCAGAAATTAAGAATGAATAATGAATAATAATAATGTATAATGCAGGCAGAAGAAGAGATTTAATGCGCTTTGAAGGCCATGAAAGGACAAACACCCCCTCAGCTCCGATCTTCTGCCCCCCTTAGCCGCGTGCATCCGCTGACCGTTAACTATATAAGCAGACAAAGCTTAATTAAAAATGTTGGCCTGGGGGGGAGGGGGTCGGGTTTGGACCTGTAATTACTGTTAATTCATTGAGTCGGATGGAGTTCAGAAATGATGGCTACGAGCTGGGGACAGGTCGGACTCTCTAGGCCCGAATGCAACTCTAGCTCACGCTGCATTTTCACAGAAAACGCCATTTCTCCACTTTCCCTTTCTCTTTTTCATTTTCTCATTTATCCAACATACAAAAAAAGTCTTTATCTATCACTGCTGCAACAACAAACAACACAACAAACCCACACAGTATGTGTCCAAGTCCACTTCAGGTTGTTCTGTTTTTCTAACCTTTAGCAAGTCGGTCTCGTATGAGCGTTCCCTCCACACCCCCACAGGTCACAGGCAGCTGGGATTTATAGAGGGGCCAGGTCCAGATCTCACCTTTTGTTCCTTTCTTCAAGGGGGACGCTGAAAAAAAAAAAGAAGAAAGAGTTTAAATAAGGGTGGCCGGTTGTCCTTTTGCTCCCAGCAGAAACTTATTTTAATTCAAGAAGAAATCTTAAATTGCACATCCATGACACAATTTTCTTTTTAAATCACTCTTAGATGCGTTACATTATTTATTCATTTTATATGCATTTAGGCCTGTCGCGGTAAACAACAAATCAATTAATCGCATGATAAATGAAAATTATCGACCTCGTTTTCATTCATCGGCTTCATTGCTTTGTCTCTCTCTCTACTGAAGACACTGGATGACAAAAGACTAAACTCCGGTGCTCTTCACTGACCCCTCCCTTTCTCTTTAAAATCCATTTTAACTCTTATTTTTCTTAGAGACACGCTGCTCGCTCCCTCACTACCCATCCTTCGGCTCAGTCTTATACTGCCATCCAGTGGTCAAAAAGGGTACTACACACAAAAATTAACCAACATTTCTTCTTAAACTTGGCATTACTATTTAATGTCAAATTTCAAACATTATTGTTTATTGAGACAATTAATCGCTCAGCAAAATGTGTTATCGTGACAGGCCTATATGGATTATGGATTATTATTTATTAATTTTCTTGACATTTGCCCTAGAAATGCTTACATTTCTCTCCTGTTTATGTGGCAGCTGGTACTTCAATAGACACCAACAACCTGGGCAGTAAACGAGCATCAGACACATCACCGTAAAAAAATAGTCTGTTTAATAGCTCCGTAGGCCTTTTGTGTTTATTCTGAATTCATTTTTAAACACTCTATAGATGTTACAAATAGCTAACTTGGAGCCAAATTTGCACATAAACCAATGTTCCCGCTAGCACAAATTAGCCACCAAGTTATGGTGCGTTCACAAACATGAGGAAAAGCATTGTGATCAGATTTTAACTGCAGTAAAGCAATAAAAATGATTCTTAAGAGTCAGATCCAGTAGGGAAGAGTTAGAATGAAGCCTCTGATGCACATCAACAGGTTGGGCGTGCAGCAGGTGAAGCTTTCACACAACGCAGTCTTGCTGAAACGTAAAGGCGGGCAGGTGACTTACAGAAATGGATTTTCTTGGACTTTTTCTTCTGACGTGGAGTCAGCTGAGCTGAAGGACCAGGAAGCACTTCATCACTTTCGGTGCTCATTTTTCTGACTTTCCTCTTTTTCTTTCCTGAGTCGTCATCTTCTGAACTCATAGGACTTTCCTCTTGGTCTTCATCTTCTTCTTCCATCTTCTCAGGCAGCAGTGTGTCAAACTGAAAAGACCCTGCGGGCAAATTACAACCAAGCATTAAGCAATTAGCAAACACTACACTGAAAATTCACACAGCTTACTATGATTCGTTATCTATAAATCGCTGCTTCTGCTTTGTCTGTTTATTGTTCTCAACACTCATCCTATAAATAGCGACTTCTGCAACATTTAAAACCGAGGACATCTGACCTATAAGCCAAACATCTTGAGATACTAACACCACTTTGATTTGTGGTCACATCAAATATACGTTCATTTGTGTACGAGAAAGAAAATGAATGAAAAGATAAATCACGCAGCAGAACTTCATGATCTGAAATAAAATAAATCATTGTAAAAGGATGGCTTTAGTGGATAAAAAGTCTACGCAGCCGTTAAAATGTTGGATTTTCTGTAATGCAATAAAAAGCACACGGCACATTTTATGTTTGTTGACAAACTATTACACAGCACTCTACTGCATATCAATAGCCTTGTATAACCTTTGACCTCAACGTGGTGAAAACATTATGCAACACGCCATCTAGTGGTGGTGCAAATCTGTAGAGCCCGGTTGATACTACATTTTGGCTATCGTCGATACCAATATCATGAGGATGAGGCTAATGCTGACAACAGATATGAAAGAATGTGTTCTGATCTGAAGCAGGGAGAGGAGGAGCAATTGTCTTCCATTTCAGAAGGTTTATTTTACATGTAAGGTACAAGATCACCAGCCCTGGGCCATTGTATCTCCACCATGCGGTCACCAACAAATGGCCCCGAACGTAAACAGACAACCCATCTTCTTCAGAGCTCGACCACACCTCCTGGAGTCGTCATCACCATCAACAAATGGGAAGTCCTATTCTATCATGTGACCCAGCTCTCAACCAATAATATCTCGCCATCTTGTGTTCTATAATGGGTGGGTGCATGAATGTTGGGAGTTGTAGGCATGTAGCTAAAACTACATTTTCTACCAGAAACGGAATCAGATCATGTTTTTAACACAATGGCATTCTAAATATCAAAACGGGATACATATATCTAGACATTTCATTAAGTTAATATATTATCTGATAAAATTATATTTCAGATATAATGCCTGAATTTTTTAAAACTTTGTCCACCCACAAGAATCCAAATAAGTACCAGTAGGCATGTCATGATAACAAATTTTGCTGGGCGATTAATTGTCTCAGAAATTATTGCGATAAACGATAATATTGTTTGAAATTTGACAATAATTAGTAATTTTTGTCAAATTTAGGAAGAAAAGTAGGTTAATTTTTTTTGTTTAGTACTTTTTTTTACCATTCGATGGCAGTATAAGACTGTTTGAACCAAAGGATGGATAGTGAGGGAGTGAACAGTGTGTATCTTTAAAAAAAATGGGAGGGAGGCCCTTTGACGTGACATGGGCTGTCTCTCATTCTTGTTTTTCGGTTCTCAAAATGGTGGATGCTCTGAATGTTTTGAGCTCTTTAGCATAGCATTTGTCACACAAAGCTTGTATAAAAAAAAATCAGTGAACAAGTTCTGAGCTTTTTTTTTTCCAGAGAAAAACAACTTTTTACACGACGGCACGGGTTTCAACCGTGAATTTTGAAGCTTCGACAAGACGGAGGTTTATTCCTGAGGTCGGCCTGTTAGCTAAACTCGTAGCTTAGCTTCTCAGCTTAGCTGCTTTTAACGATCCAAAAACACAATTTTGGATGGTTAAAACAGATTTTAAACAGAAAAGAGAAAGGGAGGAGTCAGTGAAGAGCACCGGAGTTGAGCTTTTCGTCATCCAGCGTCTTCAGTAGAAAGAGAGAGACACGAAGAAACAAGCCGATAAATGAAAATAAGGTTGATAATTTTCATTCATCGTGCGTTTAATTGATTTATTGTTTATTGTGACAAGCCTAGTGCTAACGATCCATTGTTAGGCTGATGGTCCTCCTTGATCATGTGAACAGCTAGTTTTGAATGTCAACAACAAACTGGTTGATCCACTATGAGAAGCTGCTATTTATAAGACTGAGCTTAGTACAGCTCCTCAGACTGAAGAAGTCCTTTGGATTTCTACCATTTTTTTTAACCCATCATGGGCCCTGATTTAACTTTTTTCTACTTGACAATTGTCTTCATGCGCCCTCTGCTGGATACATTGTACATTTATGGCTGATTCCAGCATTTTAGGAGTGAAAATTAGAAGTATTTATAATAATGGGACAGTTATCACCAATACCAATAGATCCCTAAACACCCACACCAGTAGATCAGCCTAAAATATCGGCTCCACAGATATATCGGTCAGACTCTACAAATTTGTATCAAGTTATGTTAAATTATATTGAGTGGATCAGAAGTCATGGCCCAGACAAGAAAAAGTTGTTGTTTTACACTTATCAAATTTAAGACATATGAAAATAGACTATATCATAATATGTCCGTCTTTCGATGGGCGTGCAATAATAATAATAATAATAATAATAATATTAATAATAATATAATAACAATAAACAAAGCTCCATTAACTTATTTGAAAATGTGTTCCACCTTTAAGTGGAATGTAAAACTATGGAATTTAAGAGGATTTAAGGCCAAATAAACATGGGAGTTGGAACATCCATAAGTCCATCCATCTTGACAAAACCATAATTCTAGCTGGAAAATCCCCCTCAGCATGATACTTTCACCACCGTGTCTCACTGTGGATATAGAGTTTATGGATGAGCTCCAGTTTTGTTCTCGTAACAAACAACTGAACTTTATTTCAGGTTGATCAGAGTCACTTTAATTAATAGCAGCTGTGTTCCCACAAAACTCAAGGTTGTAATTCCTCAAAAAGAGCTTTTATTAATTAAAAATTATTAGTTTTAGGTTGTGCACTCTATTGCAATTAGCTTATTCTAACTCTTTATTATTTTATTTTTCCCCATAAAGTTGTTTTTTTCTGTTTAGTTTACAGTTTAGATAAGTCACCGTAAAGATAAAAAAAATAGTTTTGAAATACCTTATCATGGTTTCATTTCAATACATCACATAAACCTGACATTTCAACAGGGGTGTGTAGTTTTTAAATATGTTTTGTGTTTTATATTATATCATTAATTAATGATGTTTTGAATTGTCAAAAATTACTGTAGAGCAAAACCAAATTATTATTATTTTTTTTAAAAGCACACAATAAAGGGAACTCCATTTTCCAATGTGTTTTACCGTCCAAGAGGCTGTTGCGCATCATTTTCAGAGTGGGGTACTGGCTCAAAATGATCTCCTTGAAGACACACTTCCAGAACATAGGGATGTGCTCCGATCGCTTCATCTCAATCCAGTCTAGGAGGTCGTAAATTTCTTTCTTGAGATTTTCTTTACTCTTCATTCGAATCACTTTCTGCACAAACAATAGTTAGGGGGAAAAAATAAAAAAGAATCAATGATGGGCGATAAATGAAATGACATAAATTTGCCACCATCAGTTCAGTTGCATTAAAGTGAAATGTGTATTTTTTTATGTTTGTTTCTAGGGAATTTGTTTATTTTGTTGTACATGTCATTGCACATCTCATGGTGTCTCTGAGCAGCACACCCTATCCCAATTAGACCTGTCGCGATAAACGATAAATCAATTAATCACAAGATAAATGAAAATTATCAACCTCATTTTCATTTATGGGCAGCACGGTGGCGCAACTGGTAGAGCTGCTGCCTCTCAGCGAGCAGGTCCTTGGTTCAAACCCCGGTCCAGGGGCCTTTCTGGGTGGAGTTTGCATGTTCTCTCTGTGCATGTGTGGGTTTTCTCCGGGTGCTCCGGTTTCCTCCCACAGACCAAAAACATGCATGTTAGGCTGATTGGTAACTCTAAATTGTCCCTAGGTGTGAGTGAGAGAGTGAATGGTTGTTTGTCTCGTTTGTCTCTATGTGTCCCTGTGATGGACTTGCGACCCGTCCAGGGTGTACCCCGCCCCTCGCACAGTGATTGCTGGACATGGGCACCAGCGACCCCCGTGACCCAAAATGGAATAAACGGGTAAAGATGATGGATGGATGGATTTTCATTTATCGGCTTTATCGTTTCTTGTCTCTCTCTTTCTACTGAAGACACTGGATGACCAAAAGCTCAACTCCGGTGCTCTTCACTGACCCCTTCCTTTCTCTTTAAAATCCCTTTAACTGTCCAAAATTGAGTTTTTGGATCGTTAAAAGCAGCTAAGCTGAGAAACTAAGCTATGAGCTAAGCTAACAGGCCAACCTCGGGAAAAATCCTAAGTCTTGTCGAAGCTCCAAAATTCACGGTTGAAACCTGTGCCTTTGTGTAAAAATTTGTTTTTCTCTGCAAAAAGAAGCTGAGAACTTGTTTACTGATTTTTATTAAAAGGTTTGTGTGAAAAATGCTATGCTGAAGAGCTCAAACCACACAGAGCGTCCGCCATTTTTAGAAGTGAAGAGAGACAGCCCATGCCACGTCAAGGGGCATCCCTCCCATTAATTCTTAAAGAGACACGCTGCTCGCTCCCTCACTATCCATCCTTCAGTTCAAACAGTCTTATACTGCCATCTGGTGGACAAAAAAAGGTACTACACACAAAATAAATTAACCAACATTTCTTCTTAAATTTGACAATAATTACCGACTATTGTCAAATTTCAAACAATATTATTGTTTATCGCAATAATTTCTGAGACAATCGTCCAGCAAAATTTGTTATCGTGACAGGCCTATCCCCAATCGCTCCCCGGGCGCTTTCAGTAGCTGCCCACTGCTCCACATGGGGGTGGATGGGTTAAATGCATTGAGCCAATTTCACCATTGTATGGGAACCTACAGTGATGACAACACATTATTATCATCTCTAAAACCAGACTGGACCAGGGCAATGTTTGACCTACTGATTACTTTCGCTTATAGTTACAGCTATAGCTTTAAAAAAGTTGTTGGTATCCTAATATGATGGGAGATATTGACTGAAAACGACAATATTAGTATACCAAATAAAAGATAAATATTTTAGCAATAATATAGAACTTGAAAATCCAGACCGTCAATGATTAGTTATTGATTGCAATTACATTAAAGTGCAATATTTTTGCAGGTTGTCAAATATAAATTCACATTGTTCGTATAAATTCACCCCGCCCACACACACATATGTGTGTGGAGTATATACTAGAGCCCAACTGATATATCGGTAGGGCCAATATTTTAGGCCAATATACACATGTTAGGAGTCGGGAACTATTGGTATCGGTGATAATTGTCCCATTATGCGTTGATATAAACACTTATAATTTTCACCCCTAAAATGCTGGAACCAGCCGTAATTGTACAATGCATCCAGCAGAGGACGCATGAAGACTACTTTCAAGTTATGGCCGTTCACTTATAAGTTTCACTTTCAGCACAGCTGACACAGTGAGCAATACTGTGAAGTGTATTGTGCTGAACAGAGCATGGTAAGTTTATTGTAAGTGATCTGTAAAATGAAAAAAAGTACAATAAATTCTCTTCAATCCTCCAACTCACTTGTCATTAGTCATGTGCCTCTCAAGTCAGCAAGCTAATATTTAGATAGCCTAGCATATGCTATTGCTTTGTAAAACTTTATCCAGAAAAATAAAGCCAACTTAGAGGTAAAAGATATCAGTGTTATTAACATTATCTTTGTCATCCTCAATGAAAAACATTGTTTGGCTGAAATCTTTACTTCTGTTCAAAGAAAAAAATTAATAAACGCAGCTACGGTCAATACTAATTAGGACTTCACCAGTGTTTCCCCTACCATTATGCTAGTTGCGCGCAATACAGATGCTCTAGCTAAAAAGCTACGTCTATGGAGGTAGTGCTCCGTTTTCCTCAAGCTGTGCCATCTCAACGCACCCCAGGTATGGGCGATATGGTTCAAATATAATATCGTGATATTTCAAAGCATTCTGACAATAACGATAAATTTCGTGATAAACCAAAAATAAATAAAAACAGAAATCATATTCATTTGACAAAATTAACATGTTGCTTTGCAGTATTATATATATAAAAAAGGGGTAATTTTACTGAAATTACTTTAGTTAGTAAAGTATTCAGTCTCAAAGTATAAAAATAAAAAAGATCCTTCTGTTATTTAGATTGAAAAAGTCTGCATCAAATACAGATCAATAAATCCACCACAAAATCTAAAGTGCAGGTGAAGTTTCCCAAAATAACTAAATAAAATGAAGCTTAAGATTTGTTGAGCATAAATGTAACATATAACAAAATATATGTTGCCTTTAAATGAGCTATAACTTCCAGAACTTGACAAGGTGATCATCTGACCCTGAAGCTCATGGTGTTTCTTCTTCCTCTGTTCCTGCAGGAATGATCCATTTCTCTGATGCTCTGTCTCTGATCACCTGACTCTGTTCTTGCTCCATGGACAGACTCTGAAATTCAAGAGACACTGTTGAGCTGCACGTGTCTGTACCTGCAGTTTAGAGATGAGTGGAGAGACAGCTGAGCCGAGCGTTGTTTGTTTTGAGCTTTTTAGCTAGCTAGTATTGCGCGCAACTAATTAGCGTTACACCAGTACCGACAGGTGGAGGAGGGTGCGCAGTACGGTTCAGTAGTTCGGTGCGCTCGGTTCTGTTAACGGGGTGGGGCTCCCTGGCGCATTACATCAAGAAATTAGCATATCATGATATTGTTTATTTTCCCGGGCAAGCTTTTTATACTGGTATTATTGTGAACGATATAATATGGCCCCGCCCCCATGCTTGAAAACTGGCGGTACAAGCAACGTCCAACAAGGACATGTCTCAATCCAACAACACAACCCTGCCAAGGCAAGTAAACCAGGGGAAACTTTACGGTGAATAGTGGAGGGCAGAAAATGTGGAGGCACAAAACGGTTCAGAGGCCCGCCTACTTTGCATTGATCCCGCCCACAGAGTTGGGAAAAGAGTCACAGAGGAAACTCACCTACAGCTGAGAAGAACCGATGAGACGAGAACTGACTTGAGTCGTAATTATTAGTAGCAAAGTTTGTATTTGTAACTATTGCTGTCATTTAACGTGTTTTTCTTCCCAGAGAAATTACACCTGGAACAACTGCTGGAGGCTTCTCACTGTTAAATGGGAGTTTTTCCTTTCCACTGTCACCAGTGGCTGCTCAGGATGGGAACTTGAAACGAAGTGATAATACAATCTGCTGGCTTCTTCAGATCCATGACTTTTACTAACTGGCATGTTAAGTTTGTGAATGTTTCTGTTCAGTGCCCTGAGATGACTTTTGTTGTGAATTAGCGCTGTATGAATAAACTGAACTGAATTCAGTTACAGCGAAGTTTGTCAGGTAAAATGGTAAGTTATTTAAAGCGCACACTAATAATTTCAAAAGGATGAAGTTACAGTCAATAATGCTAACCAGTGGTGCCAATCTGAAGCAGTCACAGGTGGGGTACTCAGGACAGGTCGCAAGTCACAGCGATATTTGACATTTAGAGACAATATTTCATAGCAATTTAAAATACAGCAACATTTAAAAAAAATCTAATTTAGTACGTTTTGTTTCCCATCCATCCATCATCTTTACCTGCTTCTTCCTTTTCGGGTTGTGGGGGTCACTGGTGCCCATATCCACCTATCACTGTGCGAGGGGCGGGTGACACTCTAGACAGGTCTCCAGTCCATCACAGAGACAGGTAGAGACAAACAACCATTCACTCTCTCACTCACACCTAGGGACAATTTAGAGTTACCAATCAACCTAACATGCACGTTTTAGGTCTGTGGGAGGAAACTGGAGTACCCGCAGAAAACCCACACATGCACGGAGAGAACATGCAAACTCCACCCAGAAAGACCCCTGGCCAGGATTTGAACCGGGGCGACCATAGTTGTCAAGTCTGCTTATTATAAGCGACTTTGGGCTTGTTTTTATCTAAAGTCGCTTGTGCACCCATTCATCCAG